AACTGCCATCTATTGTAATTTTTCTAAAACTCTTATCTTTGCCGACGACTGTAGATTTTTTAAGTGTGTAAGAACGCCATCTGAGTGTGAGCAGCTACAGAGCGATATGATCGGTGCGTGAAGAAGGGCTGCCAGGTCATTTTTACAAAAAAGAATAAATGTATCAATTATAATTACACTATGAATGGTGAGAACCTGAAGAATGAAATGTGTGTGAAAGATATTGGTGTTTGGCTGACCTCTTCAATGAGTTTTAGTACCCACATTAGACGTACTGTTTCCAAATCAATGCGAATGCTCGGTTTTATAAAACGTACATGTAAAAGCTTTACACAAACTACCTGTTTTAAGGTCGTTATATATAAATCTTGTCAGAAGGCAGTCAGAATACTGTTGTCAGATCTGGTCTCCTTACCAAACATCTTTAATTCATCAGGTCGAAGTTGTCCAGCGCAATTTATTTTTTGAAAGAGGTATGAAGGAAAACTGCCCGTATTTCCCTAAGTCGGCAATTTTGAAAACGGAAAAAAAAAATGATGAGTAAATAATTTTTAGTAGCGAAAATGCATGGAATAGATATAAAACCGATTGAATATGAATTTTTGAACTGTTGAGATATTCGGTATTGTTAATATAATACTGCAAATATAGCCATATTCACTATATCTATAACAGTGACGGGGTTTCCCAGATTTAGAAAAATACTTTTAATACTTTCCCATCCGAGGACCAACTTTTCAATAACCTTTTTGATTCCGTGATGTAATATGCAAAAACAAATCGCATGACGGGAAATTGGTCCTCCTTTGGGAAAGTGTTCAAAATAATGAAAATCAGGGTTGATCAAGTTTTCAAAACTGCGACAGCTGTTTCTTTGGTTAAAAGAGTTTGTATTTCCATGTTCGTCTATGTCCGGTGTAGCCTGATGTGTAACGCAGTTAGCTTGTGACCAGAAATGTGAACGGTGTAGGTTCGAGTTTACATTCAGATACACTTTTTTCTTCTTTCTTTTTTAATATTTAAGCTAGTGATCAGTTTCCGTAGCAATGTAAAATATAGTTTTCATATCAATGGAACATTTTATTAACATACCTATTGATTTATCTTCTATGGGATCATGTCAACAAATCCCTGTACAGCTACGCTTTGTTTTATGAGTTGTTTTACCCTGCCTCCAATTGGCTCTAGTATCTTTAATTATTATCTAAACACAAACAAATGATGCCGAAATACAAAATATACGGGATTGTTGTGTCAGAATAAAAAAAAAAAAGGCAAAGGAAATAAAATAGGCAATAGTAATGAGAATTAAATCCTTTCAAACTTGGTAATGATTGTACGATCTTATGTTTTTTACAGCTAACGCGAAATAAGCATTTTGTTAAGTCTTTATCGTAAAACGCATGTATTATGATAGCCATGACCTTAAATTCGTCTGTTTACAATCATCTATTCTTAGATACGGGATTCCGATAGAGTTACCTGTATAGAAATACCTGCGGACGCGTCATAACAGTGCACGGTTGGACGCGCGCACTAGCGGGTCGTAGTTTTAGGGAAATATGCATAGCAACCCGCCATAGCTCTTTTTATGTTTTAAGGCACAAGTTGACTACAATTCCATGTCTTACGCTAACACTTGTAGGTATTTATACTTCCTAGTCTCAAACATAGGCGGGTATTTTTAGACTGTGTATTTCTTTACAAATGTGTTAAGATTGTCCAGATTTAGTCAAGCAAATGTGTTTTTTAGTCCCTGGTCGTAATCTACGATTAATTCGTTTCAACCAGTTTTACTGCCAGAGAAGAAGAATAAACGCTAAAAAGTACAGTATTTTAAATAGGATTCAATGTAATTTTAACTATCTTGATTTTTGCACCAGACTGATATGTTTTGTTCCCCTCTCGCACAGTTCAGAGTACGTTTAAAGAATATTTGCTACACTGATTCCTTTTGTTTTACATATTCCGTCTTTGCGTATTGCAGAGTTATCTTCTCTTGTGAGCAGGTATTGATTGTTACGTCATTGGTTTGTGAGAGCAACGTCATCAATTTTTGAGAAAACGACGTAATTTTTTCACACAAACCAATGACGTAACAATCAATACCTGCTCATAAGAGAAGATAACTGTGCAATATGCAAAGAGGGAATAAGTATCTTTTAGTCTGTTTAGTCTTTATTACATGCATAACTGACTGTGATATTTTATACTTGTGTTGTATTGTTGTTATCCATTATGTATGGAAATATAAAATAAATAAATAAAATGTATAGGAGTATGTTGTCACGGCAAAAGATCCTATTTGAAAGAACATTATTGGTGTCTAAGTCTAGAATGGATAAAAGTTATGTATATCGCAATGGAAATTACTGCGTATACATACTCTGTGCTCTCCACGATGTACGATTAAACAGGTCGTTTTCAAATAATAAATTATGCACAAATACGGACTTTTGTTTGAAAAAAATAGGATGACAACTAATTTTGATATGTTTTATTAACATTTTAACACTAAGTTTGGCGTGTTTTAGCATTTGATGGTTGTTCACTTTTAAGGGAACGTAATAAAAAATATAGTCACTCTCGATTCCAGCTTTCGGGCATCAGAGATTGAATGGTCCTTGTTAACGGTCTTATGGCACATCAACAATCAATTGTTAAACTCATACAATGTAAAGGCACGGAATTAGATTATTATTGCTATCTAAGACCGTGGTAAAGGCAACTGTACAGTGGCTAATTGAGGACACCCAATGAATATTTTTATCTCCTTATTATAATGACACAACTGCATGTATATAGGAATGAATTTTTTTGACTGAAAATTTACGTCGCAAAAATATATAACATGCATTTATGTATTTGCCGGTGCAGAAAAGTGCATAATAATTACATTGTATCATTACTACAATATTTTTCAACTTTGTTTATAATATTTTCAATGTATTTATGCACATAATCCCCTAATTCTGCAGATTGTAACGTTAATAAACTCGTTTAAATTGAGCACATAGGCTGTATTTTATCCACTAGTATTATAACAATTAGCAAATTATCTCACAAATTGATGTCTTTCGGTGCCGCTCCCTTTGATATTTTATTTACATGAGAGGAAAATATATAAAAAGTGATTTGAAAATAGAAAATCGAAGCGGATATGTGCAACACATGCAAACGTACTCGAAGAGGTGAACTAAGGGAAGTAACTCTGATAGATGATAATCTCCAACCTTTCAAGACGTTTTTTTAAATCATGTTACAATGTCAAAGATATAAGTACTTATAATACGTTTACAGCTTCAAACTTGTTCTATACTTTTCTCAGTTTTCTTTAAAAAAATGTAATACCAGAAAATAGAGTTGTAGCTACATATCTATACATGGAATTACTTCTTTGCCCCATATACATAGACGTGTATATATACAATGTATACTAAAATGGCTTTATATGTCTATGATCTATATATATATATATATAGACATATAAAGCCATATTAGTATACATTGTATATCAATCCGCCTGAAGAAGCCCTAGAAGGCAGAAAGGCCTAGCGGACGATCTGAAAAAAATGTTTTTATTATATATATATATATATATATATATATATAACCTGGAATAAATATAATGAAAACTTATCGTTTATAAAAAATCATTTGTATTTTACTAAGTAAAAAAAAAAGTGTAACAAAATCCAATAACACTAAACAGACATGATCTTTTTGTATACATTTCCAGAGACTAGAATTGTTATTGATTGCCTGTCAATATTCCGATACATTTTTCACATGCATGTTTTGGGGAAGACAATAACACAAACGAGATACAGCAATGAAATTGAAGCTTCCGGCGACAATGATAAAATCTTACGGCTAATATCTGACGTTTTAGTTCAGTAAAAATCTGACGATTTCCGTTCCTCGAGGGGTATTTGTTTATCGATACGGGGTATAAATACAAAGGCGTCTGTGAATAGATTCTATGAAGGGTGTTATATTTATTGAATTCGGCATTTAATTGCATGGTCTAATTATAGTCTAGCGGAAAAATACAAGAAAGAACACTATAGGAAGAATGTATAGTCTTAAATATTCCATTACCTAACTGTTAATCCTTTACAGTAATCAACAATATATGGATACCAAAAACATAGATTTGCAGGAGATATAATGTATATACATTTCTTGTAGAAAGGAAAAAAGAAAAGTCGGAATATTATGTATCCATGAAAAATAATTAGATATATATTATTATTTTGTATCGGCATTAGTCTAGTAGGCTTACATTAGTTGACGAATAACTAAAAAAGCACTTCTTGAAAACCAAACGTCTCAGATTCCATGTAATGATGTATATCAAACTAGCCTAACGTTACATTATTTACATCAGAGACATATATATATTGAAATAAACCTGAAGAGCCTCTTTATAGGTTCATCAGGGGAACTGTTAATATACACACGGTGTGTATATTAACAGACACGTGTATATTATAATAAAAAAGGATTAAATACGTGTGTATATATATATGTAACCATATATGTAACCATGTTATATGGGGCAAAGAAGTACATTCCAACAGTGTGGACAAGTTTAGGTTGTCAAATTTTCGGAGCGATCCGCTCATGTAACCATGTTATATATATATATATAACATGGTTACTTTGTTTAACATTGTTGACCAACATTTTTTTTATAAACACACACGTGTAACATGTATGCACACACCAAATGACATATATTTGGACAGGGATCATAGTTATTTATTTATTCTAGTTCGTAATATTCATTAATAGCTTTTTAATATCCTATTCCTGCTGTAACTTCTTTCTTATTTTTCTGCACGAAAATCGTCCTAGGTAGGATTGAAAGTTTAGCCAATGAAACGATCTCAAAATTGACTAATCGCTACTTGTGCACAGGTCCGAAGTAGCCAATGGTAATCAAGAACGCACCGCCAATCGTTTCCGTGGTCTTTCTATACAATCGACCAATGAAAGCCCTCAATGTAAAATGACGTTGCATGCGAAGCTCATTTTTATTCATATCCACAATTCGTAGCGAAAATTTGTGCGGCAAATTGTAAATCGTCGTCAGTGAAGAAGGTAAGATGTGATATCCGGCCCGAATGTCCCTAGTAAAACATGGACAAGGGTTTCATTACATAGTTTTATATATGTTTACATATATGGAATAACCCACATTTGTAGAGGATATTCGGATTTGATATATAGTTGTATCTCAACGTGGAAGACGCCATTTTGGTTGTTGTCAGTATAGCGATAATGTGAATCTTTGCCAACCAGTAATTTTGGGTTTTTTCTCTCTGTGTGCACGAACATATTCCATGCTAAGTAGAAAAGAAGGAACATATGACCAGTTGCTCATTTGTTAATTGTCACCTTTCCCAACAAATTTAAAGACAACTCCTGAATTAAATGAAAACAAAAGAACTCATGGAATTCTAAATATAGATTTTGCGCGGTTCAGACTTGCTTCCTGTTTTAGTTAAAAATAGATCTTAGTTGTACAAAGTCGTTGCAGCTTGTGTAGTCCGATTTATATAACAAGATATATTGAAAGCCCATGTTGTATTATTTATCTGTATGTTAATTTTAATTTGTGACTTTCCTAAAACCTGTAATCCATAACCCGCCAAAATAGGGTCAGAAGGCGCGAATAAATGCTTCGCCGACTCTTTTTCATTTAAAGCTTAAAGTCTGTCGCATGTTTACGAATTTTGAGTTTGTCGGGTTATGTAATTACTACATATAACCAATAAATAAAATAAATATAGTACATATATCTCGACTTAAATGTAGTCGTAAAAGCATGGATTCACTGACAACAGATAATGTCTTTCTATTGTGAGGAGAGAATAATTTGATATGTCATTTATAATTTAGCTGATAAAATATTTTATCGTATTGTAGTACAAGTCTTGAACCAAAATGGCCAGAACAAAGCAGACAGCTCGAAAATCCACCGGAGGAAAGGCTCCAAGGAAACAGCTGGCAACAAAGGCAGCTAGGAAGAGTGCTCCATCCACAGGTGGTGTAAAGAAGCCTCACAGATACAGGCCTGGTACAGTGGCTCTCCGAGAAATCAGGAGGTACCAGAAGTCCACAGAATTGCTCATCAGGAAATTGCCATTCCAGAGATTGGTTAGAGAAATTGCTCAGGACTTCAAAACAGACCTCCGATTCCAGAGTGCAGCTATTGGTGCTCTCCAGGTAAAAATGCTTTTATCAGAAATATCCCTTCTCCAGTCACGCATCGTAATTGAGTTTCCCCTAGCAGGATGAATGCGCTATTTATGGCTGTTGGGTCAGTTGTTTTTGCCCAAAACATGATAATGGCAGTTATTAAATGTTGTATCCTTTAAACTGAGAATGGCTATTTTGCCACTTATGGATATATGTTAACTTTCAATTTATTACGGGGCCTTTTGAATGAGATCAATACAAGATTTAATTCCTTCCAAATTTATCGCATGATGTACTGTGTACTGAACTTGTTAATAAGGCCCCCAAATAACCCACTAAAACTTCCAGAATAACACTTGGGTGTTAGTCTTGTTTACATTTGCTCTAAACTTGTACAGTGAATAAACCCATGTAGTTCTATAACCAATATGTACAGGTTTTGAAAAGTTGCTCTGGAAATTTTCTGATGCCTCCCTGCCCAATCCAAACTTTTGTGGGCAAAATATTGCTTCTCTAGAACATCTACAATGTTCATGGGACAGACCTTGTCAAAAACATGTAATCTTGTAACCTTTGAGAAACAATGTGTAGAAATGATGTTATTTTTATCGGAATGTTAAAACAATTGCTGGATACTTTTGCCAAGTAACTCAATATTTGAAGAGTCTGGTCTTTTTTGCTTCAAACTTGGCATGTGTGAATCTTAAGCTATTTGTTACTTTTTCATTGATACCAAAAAAATGAAATGTTCACACTTTCCATGCATGCCAAATCGCCTCAATATAATGGCAACCTGTGTCCACTTGATTTATTTATGGTGATGGGAATGTTCGTTAATCAAAGCTTATATTTATTTATTTTCAAATTTTAGGAAGCAAGTGAAGCCTACCTCGTGGGATTGTTTGAAGACACCAACTTGTGTGCCATCCATGCGAAACGAGTGACAATCATGCCTAAGGACATACAGTTGGCCAGAAGAATCCGTGGTGAACGTGCTTAAAAAACTCCATCCAGTTTCATTTCATCACTCATCTCATGAAGTTAAAAACTAAATGATCAGACAATTTCTACGGATCATGCAAGTCATACTAGATGAACTACAAAATTAAGAATGTGCAACTTATTTTTTTGCAAGGACTTTAGGAAAAGATCAACAGACTAGAAAAAACATGAAATATACCTCTAGCATGGACATAAATTCATATGAACTGAATTGTGTGTAGAGTTTAAACATCTCATCAATTGCAGCAATTTTTACTTTACTGATTTTAACATTGGATTTTAACAGTTGATCAACGAAGTGAATTCTTTTAATCTGTCTATTCTTGCTCTTATCTATCAGGTTGTAGTGATCAACAAGATATTGTATTTTCAATTTTGCAAATTTTCTTGAGAAAGATATTGGCAATCAAAGCAGCAGTGCAAGATCTTGTTAATTACTATCATTGACTTTTGTGTTGTTGTAAGTGTTTTTGTATCGTTTTGGTCAACAAAATAAATGTAGTATATTTATTACCAATTTTTGTTTTACGTTTCTGATCCTGTTGTGACATCCGAAAACAGTTTTGGACCGTATGACCAAAACATTAAGCTGAATAAGGATGTTTTTAATCGAACCAGCCAGAATCTATTTTAATATAAGCATGCCTGGCCCAAAGGGTGAGTTTATGCCGTGGTGTGGCATCAACTTTTTACTTTGGCCAGTAGGATGAAGGCTAGTAAGATTGTTTCAACTTTATTTAAGATCTTCAAATACATGACCTTGACCTACATTCAAGGTCATAGGGATCAAATATGTAAACATCTTCTGAATGACCACAAAGCCCAGAGTACTCATATAAGGCCAATATAGGTACCTGGTATAAGTTTCGTCAAATGTCTTGATAACCTTTAAACAACTTCTAATTAACAAAATTGTCGAGAGCAATGATAGTTGGCCAGTAGTTACCTGGGACACTGCTTCAAATAAATGACTAGACTAGTAAGTGGCAATGCAGTGGGACCTTTTAAATGGATCTAAAAGAGATTCGCTGGGAAATGTCTGTTATGATGCACAAGATTCTTTACTCCAGTAGATCGGTTAATCAAATATTTATATAAAAAAGTATTTCATATAGATAGCAAAGCGTTTTTTCAGGTAAAATCTATTTGGTAGAGCCACTTCTTTTGAATACTCTTCTCTTATGTTCCATTTTGGTGGCAGTTATTATTTTCTTCAATATAAATTTGTCTGATCATATGTTTAAAGCAATGTCATAGGTACACAGCTATTACATACATCCACATAATCCAAACTCTGTCGTTTATCTTGAAGCCAACCATGATCATCAGATGGTGGGCTAGCTATTCAAATTGCCATGCGTCCGTAATCAATTCTTTAACAATTCTTTTTATCGCTACTTCGCGGAAAGCACTAGTGATCCATTTAAACGCTTTGTTTAATACTTGTTCATAGAACAGATTGCTCTCTCTGTCCAAAACTTTGCAGTTATCCCAATCAATCACATGGCTTTTAGCTCGCCCTGTCAAAAGGACCATGATGAACTTATGTCATACCGCAGCGTCCGTCAACGTTTCCTTTAAACCGCTACTTGTCCTGAACGGTCAAGTAGATTTTGACAAAATTTGGTCTGGAGCATCCTTAGGCCAAGGGGATTCAATTTTGTATAAGCAGTGGGTGTGGTCTCCAAGGGCTAGAAGGGCAGGGCCCAGTAGGTGATATAAAAGGTAAAACCTTTAAAATCCTTTCATGACCATTGGCATTAAGGGATTTTATCCTTATTTAGTCAAGAGCATCCTTGGGCCAAGGGGACTCAAATTTTGTATAAACGTTGGGTATGACCCCCCTAGGGACATAGGGGTGGGACTCTGTTTGAAATTTGTTCTCGCTATATCTTAAGTACTGGATGGATCTTTCTGAAATTTCATACCATGGAGTCCTATATCTTTACTTCATACCAATTATTTTAAACATATTCATATGAGCGATACAGGCCCTCTGGGCGTCTTGCTCTGTGTGGCATGGTCTGTGATTGCCGATTATTTATCTGGGATTCCGACTGCTTCCTTTCTGATCTGGTGAATTTCCTACCTTCTTGGGTTTCCAGTGTTCACCAAGGCGGAACCCAAATCGCCTTCCTGTCTCTCCAATATACAACGTGTCGCAGTTTTTGCATCCGATTTTGTATACACATTCTGCGACATATTCATTAGGTGTTATACTCTTAGGGTGTACTAGGACATAGCAAAGCGTCCTGTGGGGCTTCATAGCTGTTGCTATGCCATAACCACTTTGCTCAAGTGACCTATTCTAATCACTTTCCGTCTGTCGTGCGCAAACTTTTTACATTTTCGACTTCTTTTCTAGAACCAGTGGATAGATTTTTTTTCAAACTTGGTCAGAATCGTCCTTGGTAGATGAGGCTGCAAAATAGTGAAATTGGGATTCCTACCGCAACCCCTGGGGCCAGGGCGGGGACCCAAAGGGAAAATTAACCAATATTTCAAAAATCTTCTCCAGACTCAGGTACTACATTCATTTTCTCTGCATTGAAAGAAAAGATCAACAGGGGCTTTATTTAAATTTTAAATTTCAGGACCCCCGAGCTATCCGTACTCCCTTGGGGAGAGGTAAAGTTTACTATAGTTTATATGGGGAATTAACACTTTTGGGTATATTTTGACAACTTTCTGTAGGAAATTGCTTTTACTTGTGAGAATTATCCTTGAAAGAAAAAATGGTTTCAAATTGTAAAATAGGGATTTCTACCCCAACTCCTAGGGCCAAGGTTGGGCCCCAAAGGGAAAATTAACCAATATTTCAAAAATTTTCTCCAGACTCTGAGGTACTACAGTCATTTTCTCTGCATGAAAAGAAAGATCATCAGGTGCCTTATTAGCTCACCTGGTCCGAAATTGTCCGAAGGACCAAGGTGAGCCTATGCCATACCGTTTCGTCCGTCGTCCGTCCGTCAACAATTTCTTTAAACGACTTCTTCTTAACCACTGATTGGAATTTAACTAAATTTGACTGGAAGCATCCCTAGGTGGTGGGGATTCAAAATTGTACAAATGGTGGGGCTGAGTGGCGGGCTAAAAGGGGTCAATTTGGCTTATTGCTTTCAGCGATTTCTTCTCTGGAACTAAGAGATGGATATCAACCATATTTGACTGGAAGCATCACGCGGCGGTGGGGATTTAAAATTGTACAAATGGTGGGGCTGAGGGGTGGGCTAAAAGGGGGCAATTTTGCTTTATTGCTTTAAGCGACTTCTTCTCTGGAACCAAGAGATGGATATCAACCATATTTGACTGGAAGCATCCCTAGGTGGTGGGGATTCAAAATTGTATAAATGGTGGGGCTGACCCCCGAGGGGCGGGGCTAAAAGGTGGGCAATTTGGCTTTATTGCTTTAAGCGATTTCTTCTGGAGAACTATGTACTGGATATCAATCATATTTAATCAAAAGTATTTATGAGAGGCAGGGATTCAAAATTGTACAAATGATGGGGCTGACCCTCCAGGGGGCTGAGGGGCGGGGCCAAAAAGGGTTATTTGGCTATATTGCTTTAAGCGACATCTTCTCTGGAACTAAGAGATGGATATCAACCATATTTGACTGGAAGCATCCCTAAGTGGTGGAGATTAAAAATTGTACAAATGGTGGGGCTGACCCCCCAGGGGGCTGATGGCGGTGCCAAAACGGGGTAATAATATTGCTATAAATGACTTCTTCTGTAGAACTATGCCATGGATATCGATCATATTTGGTCGGAAGCATTCATGGGAGGCAGGGATTCAAAATTGTACAAATAATGGGACTGACCCCCTGGGCCAAGGGGTGGGGCCAAAATAAGTTTTATTACTTGGAAACGGTTGAGATCCTCATCCGATAACCATATAACAATTGCTGAGTATATAGAGAAGAATGCACATTTGCTTCCAGGATGGCCCCACCACTGGAGACATAGTCCCTGGGCCATAACTTTAAAACGGTTGAGATCCCCACCCCAAAACTATATATACAAATGCTGGGCATAAAGAGACGAATGCAGTCATGATATTAGAATAGACCCTGGTGTCTGAGCGAACCCCTAGGGACCTAGTTTCTTAGACACAGCTTGGAAACAGTTGAGATCACCACCCTATAACCATATATACAATTGCTGAGTATAAAGAGATGAATGCACATATGCTTTCAGGATGGCCTTGGGGACTACCCCATCCTTGGATACTTAACCTCAAAATGGTTAAGATCCCCACCCCAAAACTATATATACAATTGTTGCATGGCATAAAGAGACGAATGCAGTCATGATATTAGAATTGACCCCAGGGTCTGCCCCATTCTTGCAGACTTAACCCCTGGGTCATAACTTTGAAAGGGTTGAGATCCCCACCCGCAGACTATATATACAAATGCTGGGCAAAAAGAGACAAATACAGTCATGATATTAGAATTGATCCTGGGGTCTAACCAAAACCCTAGGGACCTAGTTTCTGAGCCACAGCTTGGAAACAGTTGAGATCCCCACCCCATAACCATACCTTAAAATTGCTGGGCATTAAAAATCTAATACAGATATGCTACAAGGATTGGCCTTCGGGTTCGGCATATTCCCTTGGATCTCATTTGGAGAATATTTTGCCCTGATTGCTTAGATATCCAGGTGAGTGATACAGGCCCTCTGGGCCTCTTGTTTAAATTGTAAATTTCAGGGCCATCAAGCTATCCGTTCTCCCTTGGGGAGGGGGTAAAGTTTACTATAATTTATGTAGGTAAATAACACTTTTGGGTATATTTTGACAACTTTCTGTTGGAAATTGTTTTTACTAGGTGAGAATTACCCTTTGAGGAACATGATTTTAAATTGTAAAATTGGGATTCCTACCCCAACCCAATGGGCAAAGGTTGGGCCCCAAAGGGAAAGTTAACCAATATTTCAAAAATCTTCTTCTCCAGACTCAGAGGTACTACAATCATTTCCTCTTCACGAAAAGAAAGATAATCAGGGGCTTTATTTAAATTGTAAATTTCAGGACCCTTGAGCTATTCGTTCTCCCTTGGGGAGGGGGTTAAGTTTACTATAGTTTATATAGGAAAATAACACTTTTGGGTATATTTTGACAACTTTCTGTTGGAAATAATTTTTACTTGGTGAGAATCATCCTTAGAGGGAGATGGTTTTAAATTTTAAATTGAGAGATTCCTACTACTATCAAGTCCTAACATTCAATATTTAATATTCAGTTTCAGATGCAATACTGTTTAGAGTGATGTTTGACAATAGTTAAGGAAGTATTTAAATACATTAGTGCATGTGCTACTATATACTTCATTTTTATAAAGTGTAACTTGGAACAAAAAAATACACTTCTAAAATTATGTATGCTGAAAACTTGCATCTTGGCAAATAACTCACGAGAGAATAAATAATAAATATACAACATTTGATATAGCGCCCTAAATAGCTATATTTTCTTTCTAAATATAACATATATGCGACGTGTTTACT